CAACAACGTTTGTCCTCAGGGTTAGGGACAATTATCATCTGTTAGGGATTGGTTATAAGTTATATAGATTGGGGTGGAAATGAAGTAGACTCACGGATCTCTTTTGGGGACAAAAACGGGAATGGATGGGATGGGATAATAGGTAAATTAATATATCAACTTGTGAATTATTACTTATAGACAATTTGTATTGGTATAGATTCTTGTATATTAATACAAATTCAAATTGTATTTGTTATATTGAATATGCTCCTATTTCTGTTTAAAATATTTGTACACCTAGGCAAAGTTATTCTGTCATATTTTATGCATGAATGCTTCTACCTCTGCTTAAGATATTTTGTATATTGATGCAAATTTAGGATATATTATCATATTGCACTATACATTTCTACCTCTGATCAAGATACTTATATATATTGCTTACATTTTGTGGTAATTGTCCTCATTTGCTGCACATTGTTTAAAGATTGCTTAATTTTAGAATGTGAAGACTTAGTCTTTAAGCTATATAGGTATTAAGAGTCTGTGAGTTCGAGGCCAGTCCGGTCTACAAGAGGTAGTTTCAGGACAGGCTCCAAAGCTACAAAGAAATCCTGTCTTGAAAAATAAACAAACAAAACAACAATAACTCAACAAAAAAGAATTTCAGGTCAATAGTCACCCATGTTTGTCATATGTATAGTTAGACTAGTGAGGTTCTCTAGATACACAGAGATTGCATTCCACATAGGTAATATTCAAACACGTCAAAGAACTGTAGAATATGGCATTTAAATAACTCAGGCATTTAAATAACTTAGGTCTTTGATGGAGTTGAAGGCTAGATAGTCATAGCTACTTTCCTCTCATGACTTAGCTAAGACATTTTTAATATAAGACTTAAACGCCTCGGGACTATGAAATAATCTGTGCTCTTTGCTAATTACCTTAGACTGGACATTTAGCTATGTCTCTCACTTGATGTTGTTCATGCTCGTTGTAATTCTAATTTTTACGTATGACTTTGCCTCTTCTTTTCCCTGTTCTTATTGTAGATAGTTTTGTATTAGGCTTAGAACCTTCTTATTTAGACAAAAGAGGGAGGTATTATGGGAACTCCCTCAGCCAAGAGCCTTTTAGATACCAGCCCATTTTGGGTATTATGGGAGGTACCATGAGCACAGACAAAAAGCATGAGCAGCCCCTTTTCTGCTTGGTCCAGCTTCCAGCTCACACAGAGGACCACAGGTCACTACCCTTACTGTGAGTTTTGTCCCCAAATAAATAAACCTTTGTTACACTCCATTCCGGGCTGTTGTGGAACTCTTTAATACGCCTACAACAATTTATGCCATCTTCCAAGTAGCATCTAAGTAGATAGAGAAAAAAGAAGACAAGAAAAAACAAAAACAGGGAACTCCCTCCTTAGTCGGAGTTTGTTTTTAGACTTTCAAATACTACAGTGTGTGCTTTTTCAGTATTTAAGATAAGAACGTCATGTATCTTTAAGTACAAAAGGTTTTACAGTTTCAATTAGTTAATTGAATTAGATCAGTAAAAGGAAAAATTTCAAATGTAAACAAATAGTTTCATTCAGAATGCCTTTTAAATTACATGGTTTACAAAAGCCAGGGGACTGGCGGAGGGCTGGTTCTTTGTGTAAGAGTGCTTGCTGAGTAAACATGAGATGCTGAGTTTGGGCCTCAGCATCCACATCACAGAGCTGGTGTGGCTTCACCTGATGATAATCCCGGTAGTCTGAGAGAGGAGAGGAGGGTCACTGGGCTTGCCAGCCTCGAGCCCAGCTCCAAGTTCTGTGAGATAATCAAGTTAGGGTAAAGTGGAACGTGATAGACCAGGGCGCCCCCACATCTATCCTCCTGGAGTCTGCACAAGTGTGCATTTGCCATGTGTACACCACACTCACATACACACTTCGTATTCTTTCTCTCCCCCATCCCCACCCCGACAGCTACAATGAGGAAAGTGAGAAAGGAGACAACGTCTGTGGCCAGGACGGAAGCACTGACTGACCTGTAGGCAGGACAGCCTGCCCTAAGGCCGCTCTTCTTGCCTGTCCAGGCACCTGTTCCTTTGCTGTGTAGTTGTGGTGTTTGTTTTGAAATCAATTACACATTCCGATCCCTCCTCAGCCTCTCACAGGGCTGTCTGGTGACTGTAAGCTCACATGACGAGCAACTCTAACGTCTGCGTTCTTCAAGTAAGAATAGTATCTGCTGTAAGTTGTGGCAAGGTTAGAGACTGTGTGCGTGGTACCTAGATATATCAGGACTATTGTTTTTTTCCAGTGACCGTTTACTGTCCGTCTATTTCTAATCTAGCCCTTTCCTGTACCCCCACTACCTTTAGTAGAGCACATGGCCTCTAGCTGGCCCTTGCGGCATTTTCTGTCATGACATGATTCATACTACCTGTGGCAGACACATCCAACTCCCATGCAGAATTCTACCCTTCATGGTATTGCTTCCCTGTGTCTGGCTGGTACATCTGTCCTGAGTGTGCTTCACATGGCTTCCTGGTGAGCTCAAGAGGGTGGGGCCAGAGTTCACTGTTTGATTCTGCCTGCTCCATTCACCAAGCCAGCTTGTTAAGCTTGCTAAGCTCTCCATCAGTATTCCTTAGTGAATTAGAGCCCTTACGTGGGCTGCAAATATAACAACCCCTTTACCACGTAGAAGAGTCACACGTGGGAGAGAACTCGGTCTTGACGTTTTCCTTGGCCCCTTGTACATACACGCTTGGAAGCCTCTAAGTTCCTTAGACTTCAGCTGAGGGGACACTCGTGTCCTCCTGGGCCATGCCTCAGTCTTTCACCGCTGAAGAGGCAGAAGAATATTACAGTGAGACAGCAACTACAGTCCCCTGCCTCCGCACCTGAGCAGCATGGGCTGTACAGACTGGAAGTGGCTCAGTGTGGAGCTTCTCCTGTTCATTTGAACCGTGGACTGTGGCTTCCAGAGATACCTTGGATTGAAATTGAATGAAGAAAACAAATAACCAAAACATCTCTCTCTCTCTCTTTCTTCTCTCTCTGTCATTTTAAAACATGGGTTTTATATCTTTGATTATTTCTTGAAATATTATTTTCTAGAGTGTTGCCTCTCAATGTTCCTGGTCTTTTGTTTCTTTATGTAAATAGAAAACCTTACAAAAATAACAAACACACTATATTACAGAAGGCATGAGAGTGGGTGCAAATCTTTTTAATATAAAGCAGGCAGGGCCAGGCAATGTTTAATCCCAGCACTCGGGCAGAGGCAGAGCTATTTCTGTGAGATCACACTCCCCCTACCCCAGTCTACAGAGGGAGTTCTGAGCCAGGTAGGAGTTTATGGTGAGACCACCCTGTCTCAAAAAACCAAACAAAAGTAATATAGAGCTGGCTAATATTAATGCTACCGGGCTAGGAAAAACATTGAAGGTCTGATACTTCCCTTAGCTTGGCAGGGGTAGTCTTGAAACCATGTGGTTGCCCCTTGGCCTTGCAGGACATCCTTTTCTTGGTGGCAGGGCGGAATGATGCCCATGACAGGGCAAAATGATTCAGGCATGGATGTCTGCCCCTGCTGCTCTGTGACTCTGCCCATGCCAATGAAAGATCTTATTTAGAATGAATACATGAAAAATGTGTGGGAAAGGACATTCCCCCACAGACATGCATTTCTCTGCATACAATTTGCTGTTGGCGGTTTTTCATTTCCCATTTTTGTCTAGTGCTGAAGCAGGGTGGGAGGACACAGCGGCACTCAGTGGGAGAGCACTTGCCTGGTTGGTATATGTGGGGTCTTGGGTGTTATTCCACAGGTATTATTAAGAGAGCATTTTTGAAAAGCACACTGTTTCATCTTTGTTTAACACCAGTTTGCACTGTTGATGTGCAGATTTGAAGGAGTTAGGAAGCAGGGAGGGCCTACTAGGGTAAGAGCGAGCTCCCTAAGTGAAAGGCTGCCTTTCTCCAGGTGTCCCACTCACAGACTGCTAGCTCCCGTCCCTGGCTTCTGTGTTCGGTCATCTCGCCTTTTAGGGTGTGTTAGCAACAGGGGTGCATTCTAGATGCCTAGAGCATCTCCATTCTTACACCGCTAAAATGTGTCCAGGCCATGCGAGCATTGACATCTCTCAACCCTCAGGACCAATGAACGCCTTTATTCCTACTGTGTGGCATGTGGTTCTCGGGGAGAGAACATTCTGTGTGGCTCCTGCCAGAATGACTGATCCCATGGCTCCCACCTACAGCACCCTGGAGAACTTTCTAGATAAAAGGCTGTGGTACTTTTGAAGACCTTCTGAAGCAGTCATCAGAGTAAACATAAAACCCATCGCCCCTGACGTCCGGAGAAGACGCATTCTAATCCTTGGGGATGCTGGTGTCCCGTGTAGGGTCTCCCACAAGCAGGTGCTGTCAGGCCAGGCATGCATGCATCTATGCATCATGGGCTTAGATACCCTGACAGCCTCACTGTACGCTGGCGGCACTACCCAGCCCCTCTCCCACTGTGGCTTGATTTCCAGAACCAACTTGACTTGGTCCTGACATGCTTCAGGGACTGGTTCTGACTTTACACAACAACTTTTTTAATTGAGATTTTCTCAGGAAAGGGGATTTCATCCTTTCTGGGGTATTGTTCAGCAGATAATTCTCTCAATATGCATGAGTATAACAGTCTTATCCATTGTAAACATGAATACTGCAGGTTTGGGGTTTATCTTTGAAAGGACAATTTCTCACACCGTTTTGTTGGATTTGGCATCTCAAATACTCCAGGGGCTTGATCAGTATGGAAGACATTGGTTGAATAAGTGGAGGTGGAGTCGTGGTATAGCTTTCAGAAATCAGACTATTTTTTAAGTTGGTAGTTAGAGTTACCATTTTGAATTCGAAGGTCATTGAAGTAATTTAGACAAGTACCAACAGTACCTAAGTCCCTGAGTGATACTTAGCTCTGCCATTGGGCTGGGCATATACCTATTTTAATTATTGCTCTCTTTGACCGCAGGAGCTCTTACCAAAGTAAAGGAGAGTAGGCGACACGTGGAAGAAGGGAAGATGGAGGTCCAGAAAGCTGACGGCATTCAAGACCGCTGTAACACTATTTCTTTCGCCACGTTGGCCGAGATCCATCACTTCCATCAAATTCGAGTGAGAGACTTTAAATCACAGATGCAGCATTTTTTACAACAACAAATAATATTTTTCCAAAAAGTGACCCAGAAGTTGGAAGAAGCTCTTCACAAATACGACAGCGTCTAATGGCTGGACATGGGGCTGTGCACTTGTTTTCAGTCCAAGGATAGTTCCTACAGCCGAGTAAAAACTGCTTTCAAAGAGCTATTGCCAACTATAGGTGGTGGTCCAAGGATGGTTTTGTGTTCACCTGAAACCCGGCTGGATATCTAATTATGTAGGAAAGAAACAGTTAATATGGTTATGTAGCAGAAACAGTACCACACTTTGTAACTAAATTATACTATGTATGCCTACACTACCATTGTAACTTTTGGATAATGATTATACTATTTGCCTTATTGCTTTTTGAAGTATGGGTATATTAGTGTATACTTTGTAGACCTCAGAACCCATGAAGAGTCTCAAAGAAGCTGGCTGGATAAAAGCCTGCTTGTGGATGCCTTTTTATTCTCATAGATCGAGATGACCTTCATTCAACCTATTCTCTGTTTACAAACTCCAACTAGAGCAGCTACGCGACTTTGTGCCTTTAGACTGGTTGTTTTCATTTCTGTCCCACCCCTGTCCACGCCCCCACTTTTCTGATGGGAAGAGTGAAAGGCGGGTGCATTGGTGACAAACTGATGAACCTCATGTTTCTTGGGGCGGGTGGGAGAATCAGTGGCCATCAGTGCCCAGACAGTTAAGATGCTGGCGGTTACAGAGGAGTGAGATGCGATGTTGTCTTTGAATGGGGAAAAGGCCGTCGGAGGATGGCCTCGTGACTCAAGGGTCCTGCAGACCGGGCGTAAGGACTTCAGCAAATGCGCTTAGTGCGTGGAGGAGGAGGAGTCCAACCAGTGGGGGGACAGTATAGAAAGAGCAAGTGAGAGACAGCATACTCGCTCTTAGTTCTTGGGAGGCTTCCTTCTGTCTTCTTCTGTTCTTAGCTTGAAATTTTCTTTCAATGTTCAGCTTTTTGTTCTGTTTCTAAACGGATCTACACTGTTAACTGAATGAGACGCCACTGTGATTCACTCGTTTACTTAATCAGAAAATTTCAGGGATGTCTGTAAATTTCAGTGTTCTACACAGTGAGAACTGTTGGTTGACTTAAGGAGGGACCAGAAACAATTTCTACTATTCCAGTACTGAAGAAAAAACAATACTGATTTATACTGTGTTTTTAAAAACTGAATATTGATAAATCCCCCCCAGAACATTTAACCTTAAAAATTATTTTGAGTATAGTCTTTTATTATTATAAGGGAACTACAAATGACTTATAAATACCAAAAAAAGCAAAAACAACAACAAAAGGTTTCAAAAGCAGCTTCTTTTAAAAAGCACAAATCTCCATGTTCTTTGTGGTTGTTGAGTTAAGTGATGTGGTTCTTGAGTTTGCAGATGTCAAAGCTGTCACTGAAGGTTGAAGTGCCTGCATCTGCTGTCCTGTGAACTACACTTCCGCCACCCCAGAAACCCTGGTACTGAAATGGTGACATGGGAGGCCAGAGGCCAGTTTCAAAGGGGGTGAGCCAGAGTTACATGAAAGGGTCAGCTCGCAGAAAGGCCCAAAAGGAAAGGCTCCTGGGATAGTTACTCAACAGCGCATTTACGCTCCTCAAAGTAGTCATATGGGTTGGATTTTTAAGAAGAGATTATGATAATTTTGATCTCTGGTCAAATTCTTATACTTCAGAACTTAGAGCCAGACTTGGCATCATGTTGCGTTGTCTTTACTACAGACACGTGGGACTGTCGCCAGAAGCTGTGCTCCCTTAAAAAGCGACTTCCTAGTGTTGATTGCAAAGTCCAGTTAGATAAGGAAAGCCCATATATATTTAAAAATTAATTTTATTGCAGAAATTTGGAGGTTATAATGATAGCGTTTAATTTAAGTCTGCGTTGGTATTGAACAAGCAAGCTCTGCTTTCCAGTTGTTTTGAAAGTCACATTTATTTGCCTTTTTGTTTTGACGGTGGTTTGATTTTTTTTTTTTTTGAGTAAAATTACTAAACTTGTGCAATAATAACAAGGAAATTACCTGAGGTATCTTGTATGATTGTGCTTTAGCCAGGGTGGACATAACTTAAATTATAAAAACTAAAGATTAAAATACAAAGAAATATAACTTCATGCTGCCGCCTTCTAAGAGAACCTTTGTCCTTCCTAACCACATAGCTTAATGCCACTGATTCACGGGACTTTCAGTGAATTCTGTGGGTTAAAGCAGCAGAGTTCCTAGCGTCCATTATGTCCAAGATCCTTATTCTCTTAACGTTCTTGGTCCTATTGAAACATTTCAGTATCTAAAAATACTGCGATGTTTATACCCAAGAGAAAAGCCATTGTGTGTATGCTGGTCACCATGACCAGTGTGGTACCATTTTTTTTTTTGTCGTTGTTTTGTTTTGTTGTTTTTGTTTTTTAAATAAACTATCATGCCCTTCGAGCCATCATTTGTCTTTATTTCTAGAATTTGAAATTCTGACACGCAGTTGTGCCTAACGCAAGGGTGTCCACCCCTGAGCCTGGTTTTGCTGTTTTAATCAGAAGCAGTGGGTTGTTTATGGGCTGTAGCCATGGTGCAGTGAGACCGGCTGTATCTGAAGGCACAGTTCAAACCCAGAATGGGCAAGCACATTTGAAAGTGAAACACAAATCAAATCACATTGACTAGAACAGTGTAGTGGTTAGGATTTCCCAGGCGTCCCTGGTACTATTATGGTCTTGCATTTATTCCTGACAACACAACAGACTCTCCAATGCTGGTTTTTCATGGTCTTACATTTTGTTAATATGTCTTACATAACTATGGACCTGAAAAATGTTTCAGTTTGTCAAATCAGACATATAAACATTTATATGTACACGTTTCCATGTCCGTCTCTTCTGAGTTCCTTGCTAGGCATTCCCACCCCCTTGGGTTTTAATTTTCTCAGAATCAGACATCTTACCTGAGCCTTTAATGCCATAGGTGTTAGCCACCTTCCTCATTTCCAACTTTGTATTTGGTTAACTGAGTAAATCAGCCCGGGTATTTATTGTAGATGAGAAATGGTGGATATTGTTTGCTTTAGAATGCTATGAGTAAGTAGCGTGGATCAGATGTGTTTTATCTTTCAAAAAATAAAGCAGGTTGCTTCATTCTCAATTTTAACAGGATGTGTTTTCTCCATTCATTAAGGAAGCGTTCACTAACACGAGACACAGAGAAGCTGGAACGTGCTCTCCATCCTCAGCCTTCAACTGTACTTGCCACTTGGATTGTTCATGGAACTTTTAATTGGATTAACTTCAAGCTGTTCACTTTTCAGGTGGTCTCACTGAGTATTGTCAGCAAACTGAGGTCTTTGACACGATAGTTAATGTGGCTCCAGCACCAAACATACAGGGATGGAAGTAAAACCCTTAGAAACTCTCTCCACGAGTTACCGGAAAGCAGCAAACTCTGACCTGCCCAAGTCAAATGACTGTGTGCCAAGACCTGGCCGGTCCCAGTCCGTGAAGATTACATTTATTCCTTCTGGATGTGGAATCTGCACATTAAACCTGCCTCCCCTCATCACCCCAGCCTTCCCAGCCTCCCCAGGCCTGCAAGGGAAGGGAGGAAATGGCTGGCCCCTCTGGCCATGAGCTGCAGCTGCATCTGATGGTCCTCGCAGCAAACCTCCGAGGAAGATTCCATCCATTCCCATCTCTCTCTCTCTCTCTCTCTCTCTCTCTCTCTCTCTCTCTCTCTCTCTTTGTGTGTGTGTGTGTTTGTGTTGAAACCCCAGTGAGGCCTTTCCTGAGATCACACAAACGGATGCTGCTAACTGGCACTTATCCTGGGATCTGGCTCAAGCCATTACTTTTAAGTGGTTTCGGTGGGTGACGTTACTCTGCTTTTTAACATTCTCTAAACCTTCCAAGCTCCCCAACGCTGGGTGGATAAAAATCCTAGCATTCTTTGGCCATGACATAAAAATGCAGAAGAAACATCTAGAGTCTGCCTTGTTCCTTTTCTCCTAGGGAGGATGACAGTCACTCCTCACTGGTAAAGTATTAATGTCACGTATCTAGAACAAGACTGTCCCTGCGAAGTTACCCTTAAGGAGGCTTGAGCCACTTGAAAGAGGACGTTATATTGCCTTGTCACTAGTCCACTCAGAACTGGCCTCTGAGGTTGAAGTGGTCATATTTTCCCTGTGCCTCGCATTTTCGTTCACACCAGGAAATGACTCTCAGGCTCTCATAGTTGCTGGGTTGGCAGGCGTCTGTGCAAGCTGAGCCAGCACATCAGAAGGAAGGATGACACTTTGGAGCCAGAAGCCTGGGTCAGTTCCTAGTTTCCCCGTACCCCATATGACCTCAGACAGCTGGCTAAGCCATCCCTGCCTCGAGTTGTGCTGTAGGCCTCCGAATTTACAGCATTGGGGGCCTGTTGGTTAAGACTGCCACAGAGAGTCTTTAGCCATTTTACAGTTGTCCTCTAGCAGACTTAGGAAGTGACCATTGATTCAGAAGTAGGTGATGGCTATCACATGACCTTGAGCTAGAAGGTGTGCCTAACCTGCATCCGATAGGCCCTGTGTGCCCAGGAGAGCTGTAAATGTGTCTCAGAACAAAATCGTAAACTTACTCTAGACACTATGAGATATTTTTGCAAACTTTCTTGGACAGTTCTTGAACTTGAGTCTCATGGATGACAACCATGTGTTGCAGTATCTGAATCCTGCAAACCTGATTTCGGCCACTCTCACACCCACTGAGCCGATGGAGGGGTTGGGAGTCCTGCTCATCCTTCATCCTTTTGGTACAGGTCCCTGGCTTTCTAAGAACCGAGTGCCAGTATTCTGAGGAAGTTGTCCCATAGCTCTAGGCTGGAAGGAAGAGCGGGAGGCAGCTCAGACTTTCTGTTTTGATTTGCCAAATTAGTAGTGGTCCCCTTGAGTTGCTCTTCTCCATCTTTACAGTATGAACTTGAGACCCAAAGGAACAGCCTGCTCAGTGTCAGTACCTGACTGACCTCATCAAACACACAGGCATTTGGATGGTCAGTGCCTTTTCTCTGGGTAGTCAAGTTCTTGATGCTTGGGTGTCACTTTGGAAGCAACATACCTTTGCATTCAGTGCTAGTGTAGATTAATTAGGTTAGATCAGATAATGTGTTTGCTCTACTTTTGTCCAACCCAACTCTTTGAGGAAACTTTTACTTAAAATAGTTACCTTGGGAACAAAATCTTTTTTTAAAAAAAAAAAAAGTATAGTCAAGGATTTAGCAAATCAGGCTCAACCTAAAACTAACAAAAGTATAGTCAAGGATTTAGCAAATCAGGCTCAACCTAAAACTAGCATTGACTTTGTCTGCTTGCTACAGAATATTTTAAACCATTTTTCTATTACCTAGCCCATCTGGGAATTTTATTCCAAGCCACTGGGGTGACTAGGTGCTAGCATGTGCTGTCTAAGGCTGTATGGTCTCCATACGTGTCTTTGGATAAATCACGAGGCTTTTAGAAAAGTACAACCTGGGATTCCAGAGCAAGGGGCTTGTTGAAATGTTGATGGCTGTTAGTCTAGAATGCTCGGAAAGTTCGACCTTTTCAGACGTGTACGTTGACATGATCTCCTGATGTACTTCCACAGTAGCTAAAGCACCAAAACCTATGAAGGTGTCAGTCATTTTAAAAAGAGGATGATGGTGGATGTCTGTAATCAAGAGGCAGAGAGGCCTGAGGGATTGCTAAATTCTAAGCTAGCCTGATCTACAGAGCACCAGGCCATCTGGGGCTACATAAGGAAATCCTGTATCAAATAAATATGGGACCTATATGCCAGTATAGAATTTCCTAAGAAAATTAAATGAAATAAGAGACAAACAGTATATTCCACTTGCTGCTCCAGGAAGTGGAACAAGTGCTTATATCTGTGTAGATTATTTCATAAATGTCCCCACATTGGTAACAAGGTTACGTTGTTTGCTTCTGGGGCCAAGGACTTGGGACAAAGACGGGAGACTGTTCATTGTATGCTTTGTTGAATCTTTTATGTTTGAATGATTGACTGGTATTTCAAAATAGATGGATGGAAGATTTGAAGTCAACAGAGGGACTAGCAAAATTTAAGAGCGATGTCAAAGAGGTGGGTGGAGCTATAGCCCAGTGGCAATGCCTTTGAGACTAAGAAGCTAATCTGTTTGCTGTGTTAGCTCTTGTTGAGACCCAACCACATTTGGAATAACTGGACCGTAGACTAAAGACAGCTGTGATCAAGCCATGGGCTCTTGCTTACTATTAACAATCCACTTGGCTTTCTAAGCAGATTCCCTCCTGGCTCCCGTCCTGTGAATCCTTTTGTGATGCTCCCTTCAGTGCCTGGCCCCTTCTCTGCACTACCACTTCATCATAGGATGGCATTTAGCCAATGGTTACCTGTGGATCCAGGGATAATCCTTTTTCTTACCACCTCTATGTGGGGTGCCTGCTAGAGGCATGATTCTCCTGCCTGCCATCCCATCCACGTTTTATCTATAGAACTTTTCCTTCTAAACAATTTGGTGATCAAGGAAACTGGGGGCTTACTGTCACCCCTAGAAAATAACAGTTTTAGAAAGAGGCAGAGCTGGGATTTGAACACAGGCCACCTGATTCCATAGCTCATCAAGCAGTCTAAATCATTTGTCTACTTACCTGAAAGCACCAGGTTGAGCCAATGCAACATGGCAGGGAGGTCGTGTTCTTGTCTTGGAGACAAGTCTCTTTTCTGCCCCTGTCTTGTTCTTGCCTAAGATCCCAGGTGCACAGGAGCCAGTAAATGCAGGCACCGGCTCACAGAAAACCCAAGTGACTCCCCAGGTTGGTGAGTGATACTAAAAGCACTTTAGGGGACCAATGAAGTGGAGACGTTTGAGCCCTGTGCACCAGCATTGCCAGCACACACAGTTGCCTTCCTGTGAGGACCATCTTTCACAAAGACAGACCTCTGTTCGCCTTCCAGGAGAATGGTGGGCCAGCCGGCCACAGAGGCGCTTTGTTCTGCTGGGCTGCTGTGCGCCAGCCTGCTGATGCAGATTTATGACCCTGCAGAGTGACAGATCTCTTACACATCACACCCTTTTGAGCCATTCACGAATGGCTGCTGGGTTTTCACTGTCAAATCCTTGTCTGCTCAGTTGCTGCTGTGTAGAGCCGGGGAGAGGCTTTAGGAATCAGGAGGCAAGCTAAGCCTCTGAGAGGGGGCCCAGGGGAACAGCATCACCAGAGCTGCTGGAGTGGTGGGAGGCAGTCAATTGCCACACTGCTTGTTTTACTTAATAAAGGAACTTAATATAAAAGACATCAGACCAATACGCTCTCTGTCATAGACAAGCTCTGGGAAACCATCATTTCATCAAGGACATTTACCCCAGCAGACCATTTGTTCAAATGCTCACCAAGGCATCTATCTATACAGCGGAGAGATCCTGGA